CGCCCCGCCCCGCCCCGCCCCGCCCCGCCGCGCGTGTCCGACCGGTCTGGCGCGCGACGACGCGGCCTGCGTCCCGAATGTCCCCGCCTTGAGAGTGTACTCTCAAGTCCCCGCGGCCGCCCATTTTCGCACGCAGCCTTACGGATCTGCATTGACACACCGCGCGGCGTTGGCCGGAGGGGCCTTTACGCCATTTAAATAATGACGAAATAAATGATCGACTGAGGCGGCAATTTTTAATCATTACAAGCAGCGATCGTAGCAGGAGTGTCTCTTAGATTTTATCATCATTGCATTTCCTTTAATTATTTTTATTTTTCTACGACTGAATTATTTCCTTTTTTTCGCGTAGAATTATTAGTGAGCATAAAGGGCGACATGGTGAGCGACAAGAAGGCAAGCCCGCCCGCATGCATGCGGTACAGTATAAGCAAAATACAAGAAAAACTAGTGGACTAGGGTAGGAAAGTCCTCGAAAGTTCCCGGAAAATTTCAGGAAAAAACGGAAAATTTCTGGAAAAGAAGGGATACTTTCCCAGACCTCGGCAGTTTTCAGTTATTTTCCGGAAATTTTCGGGGATTTTCCCGGAAATTTTTGCAAATTTCCAACCCTTTTGTGGACGACCCTGTAGAGGAGATCCGTAAAGGTCCTCTTTGCTAAAGACTCCGAGATCGGATTCCACGATGCATACCGGCGCAGGGCGGGGCCGGGCGCGCGCCGAACACGCACCTCACATCGGCGGGCGGTGGTGCAGTGCAACGAACGGCCTTGGGTAGGTCGCCCGGCCGGCCGGCGGGGAAGGGGGGAGGGGACCCAGCAGCCGGTCCTGGAGAGGTTCCTGGACCCGCGCCGTGATAGGACGGGTCCTAGCCGGTCCTGCAGCAGCTGGGGCGGCAGGGGGGAAGGGGAGGCGTAACCAGGTCTAGGGCCGAAAGCAAAAGGCGGGCGTGTCACGGAAGTGAATACGAGCAGCAGAGAGAAACGGGATGCGTTGTTGTTGTTGTTGAGATTTGAAGACCGGAAGTAAACTGGGAAAAGTTACGGGAAAAAAACACCACGCAAAAACCAGGACCAGGGGAAATAACGAAAATTTTGAAAATAACTTATTTTCTCTGTCTTTTTTTAAGTTTTCGCGGATATTTTTCCGTGAAAATTAAAATCTCTATGTTGTTGTCGGTTGGCGGAGCGTCACAAGTAGTGTGTTGTTGTGTTGCGCAGACTGCGGCCAGCCCGAGGTGCCCAAGTTCCGCGTGGTGGGCGGCGACGAGGCGCTGCCCGGCCGCTGGCCCTGGATGGCGGCCATCTTCCTGCACGGCCCGCGACGCACCGAGTTCTGGTGCGGGGGCTCCCTCATCAGCAGCCGGCACGTGCTCACCGCCGCGCACTGCACCCGCGACACGCGCCAGCGACCGTGAGTACAAACAAAAAAAAAAATGAAAAGAAAGCTATCAAAACAAGTTTTTTTTTTTAAGTTTTTTTCATTTTCTTTAAATTTCATTCAAAAGTTGGATTTTGTTTTAGAAATTAAAACTGTTTTGATTTTTTTTTTAATATTTTGAAATTTGATCTTTTAGGGAATTTGACCTTTTTAAAAATTTGAACTATTTTGAAATTGGAACTTGAGTGAAAGATTGATCTTTTTCGGAAATGGACCTTTTTAAAAAAATGTGTACTTCTTTAAAATTGAACACTTCTTTGTTTTCAAATAAATGTTGACCTTTTTGTTAAAACTTTTCGAGTTGCTTGCTCTCTTTGAAACGAAATGTGAGTCAAACTTTGGCGACTTTGCAGGTTCAGCGCGCGCCAGTTCACCGTGCGGCTGGGCGACGTCGACCTGAAGCGCGAGGACGAGCCCAGCAGCCCTGTGACGCACCAGGTGGTGGAGGTGCGCGCGCACCCGCAGTTCTCGCGCGTCGGCTTCTACAACGACATCGCCGTGCTCGTGCTCGACCGGCCCGCCCGCCGCTCCAAGTACGTCGTGCCGCTGTGCCTGCCATCGGCCCGGATGCGCTCCGACACCTTCGCCGGCGCCCGTCCCACCGTCGTCGGCTGGGGCACCACCTACTACGGTAAGCGCATCGGTGCTTCGGCACACCAAGAAAGTGTGACCGCACTATCGAAAAAAAATCGACCATCGACTTGGAGTATCGAGTCTCGATGATTCGAGTCTTAATATCGACTTGGAGTATCGAGTCTCGATAATTCGAGTCATAATATCGACTTGGAGTATCGAGTTTCGATAATTCGAGTCATATCGACGGACTGACGATGTCATTTATCGATGCGATACATAGTAGTTAGTTATCGATACGTCGATATCGAATGTCGAATCATATCGACCCCTCGAAAGCGATGCGTCGAGATATCGCTCCGCCCCAGCTGGTCGCGCTGCGCGCCCGCCGCCGCTCGGGTAGGCAGCCCAACGTACCCTCGGCCGCGGCGGGCCGGCCCAGAGCGCCGGGCGTAACACTGTACGGCTCGCTTGGCGTTGCAGGCGGCAAGGAGAGCACGGTGCAGCGGCAGGCCGAGCTGCCCGTCTGGCGCAACGAGGACTGCAACCGCGCCTACTTCCAGCCCATCACCGAGAACTTCATCTGCGCCGGCTACTCGGAGGGTGGCAAGGATGCGTGCCAGGTCAGCCGCAATTTTTATTTTTTTTAAACATCACTTGAAATGTTTTTGACTTTATTTGATTATTTGTTTTCAAATTGCAACTTTTTTATTTGACGAACATTTTAATTTTCCCGCCTCAGGGTGACTCGGGCGGGCCGCTTATGCTCAAGAGGGAGGGCCACTGGTACCAGGTGGGCATCGTGTCGTTCGGCAACAAGTGCGGCGAGCCCGGATACCCCGGCGTGTACACTAGGGTGACGCAGTACCACGACTGGATCCGGGAAAACACCCTCAACTAGTCTCCGCCCTAGGTGCTTTTTTTGCGTAATTTATTTCTCTTTTTTCTCGTTGTTGTATCGTATGTGTGATGCAATTTAATTTATGAAAGGATCCCGCTCGTTTATTCTATTTTACTTTTTGTTTGTAAAATTGAATATTGATGATTGAGAGAGCGACTTCTTTGTATCCAGTGATAACGTGACTGACTGTTTAGTTTTGTTGAGTCCAAAAGTGGGATTCGCACAAGTCTGGTGATCAGACGAGAGCCTGCGTTGGCCGTCCAGAGTCTTCCCCTCACGCGCCAAACTCGAAAAAAATACCTTCTTGCCCTGTAAGACTCTAAAACTATTGTTATTTATTGAACAATTTTAAAAGTGATTTAATCGTCATTCCTATTGTAGGCATTATATGCCAACCTCTTTGTACATCGTGTTAGAATAAATGATTATTTTTGAATTACTCCTGTCATGTTTTATTCGTCCCGCTGCTCCGAACCGAAAATAATTCACACACGAATCGAACCGGAATGGGCGATCTCCAGCTGGTTTCCTAATTTGCCGGCCGGCATACCGGCTGCCGACGGATTCCGCGAATAGTGTGACCACGCCACGCCACGCCACTCTGGCTCCAACATCAGGGCTCTTTGAATCGGGAGAAGCAAGAGCCGAGCAGTAAGAACCGTGTCCATGCAAATAGTTGGAACTGGCGCGTTCAAGGTTGGCGCGGAGCGGGTTAGCTAGAGGAAGCTGCCTGTCTGTCTGTCCGTCGGGCTGCCCCTTCTCCCCCTCTTTCCCCCCTCCCCCCAAACACATTATGGCATCCGGAGCAGTCGTGGGAAACACTCGCGGGCCCGGGCCCCCGGGACGCCGCCGACGGAGCCTCTCGGCAGACACAAGCGCGCGGCCACTGAAGACCATCCACTTCTTCTTGTCCATATACTTTTGTTCCTTCGTTTCATTCATTTAAAATGAAACACAATCGTTTATTTTACATGTAACACGTTCATCATACAAGCCAAAAAGGCATTAAGGTCTCGATTAAGGTCTCGCTGACAGGGGGGGGGGGGGGGGATTGCATTGTCGGTTGCCCACATACAGGGTTTTTGTGGTCCAAATTGCCTACCCTCTATGCGGCTCTCCAAAGACGACAGGGTGGTGGGATTCCCCCCCCCCCTTTAATCCGCTCCTGCAGAAAGGTAAACGAGTAAGCAGCGAAGGGGGGGGGGGGGCACATTTCCTTCTGGTGGCGACAGTCTTGGTGGACGTGGACATACCATTGATTTTTTTAATCTTCAAAATTCAACAATTTCATTTTAAAAAATAAACAACTTTTTTCTGAAAAAGCACCATGTCTTTTTTTCAGGTGTCAAAATCAACTTGTCTAACTAAGTAACTAAGTAGACGAGTTGGTCAAACAGCAGGGACGCCGAAGTAGTGCGTCAAGGCGTTTCTCGGAACGGTTCATTCCTTTTAATCCGAACAGCACCTCGCTCTTGGTTCCCGCTAAGCCCACTTCACCCAATAACAGCCGCCCGGCCGGCGGCTAGGTCATCGCTGTCTGGGACTTCCCCGTGTGTCGCACGGCATGCAGCTGACACGCCAGGTGGCCTCCACAAAAGGTTGACTTGAATGTATTGAACCATTATGTTATTCGTATTTTCGTCAGCGCGGGGGAGGGGCGTCGTCGATACAAAAACATAACAAGATACACTTAGTAATCATACTGAAAGAAAATAGTCAGTATGTACTTGGAAGCGCCCGGTGGGACGGGGGGGTAGGCAGCAGGTGAACACTGCTGTCGGGGTGGTTGCCGATTCTCCGCTTGGCAGGGGCGAAGGGGGCGAGGGAGTGAGCGAGAGTGAGAGAGAGAGAGAGAGAGAGAGAGAGAGAGAGAGAGAGAGAGAGAGAGAGAGAGAGACGTGGTGGTGGGCTGCAGCAGCGTGACGTCACACGTTGGCGTGGGCCGGGGCGGCCCGGGTGGCACGGCTGGGCAGACAATGGGGGGGCTCACCTTGGTGTCCTCCGCCCCGCCAAGCGTGCGCTCGGCTCGCGCCGGCCGGGCGTCGCGTCGGGACCAAACGCCGCGCAGCGCGAGGCGCACAACAGCCCCCTCCTGGAGGCCGCGCGGGGACCAGGCGGGGGACCGGGCCGGGCCGAGCCTCCATCGGATCCGGTACACCGTCACGACAAAACACTCCTTTCTCCCCTGTAGGTTCTACAGCCGGTGACTGCGAGTCGCGAACGGCCAATCGCAGCCTCCACCCCCCCCCCCTTTCTCTATCTGTCTGACCCCACAAAAGTTAAACAAACAAATTTTGAATTCCAAATTCTCTTTCACTTCTCGTCTATCTCTGTATGTGCCTCTGTCTACCTCAGTCAGTCTGTCTGTCTGTCTTGCTCACTCTCCCTCTCACTCTCTCAAATTACAGGTAATTAGGGTTCGAAGCCCTGGTGAGTTTCCGGAAAATTTCAGGAAAATTTTTGAAAAAGACGAAAAACCTTCGGGAAAATTTCCTAGATTTTGGAAAGTTTTCCGTTGTTTTCCGTGTATTTTCGGAAATTTTCCGAAAATTTTCCGGAAAATTTGGGAAACTTCCAACCCTACAGGTAATTGTGCCCGGGCCGACAATAACCACAACGAGAAAAGTACATACTTGGCGTGTCCGAGCGCGCTCGCGCTGGAGGGTCCGCCTCGGTCCTAACCTACGATGAGCCCGGGGGAAGGGAGGGAGGGGGGCGGGGTGGAGTTGGCACGTCTCCTCCGCGAATCCCCCCGGCGAGCGGCCTGCCGGGCAGGCTGCCGGTGAGCTCCGGAGGTGCGAGCTGCTCCGGCGTCCAGTCGGCACCCGGCAGCCCGCCCCGCCCCGTCGTCGTCGCCGTCATGGAGGCCCGCGCCCTGCTGCAGGCGCTCGCGGCCACGCTGCCACTGCTGCTGCTGCTGCTGGTGCACGGCGCCGACGCCCAGCTGTTCGCCGAGCAGGTCGAGCAGCAGCAGCTCAACGTGCAGACCCAGGCCATCCAGCAGCGGCTGCAGGACATGCAGCGGCTCATGCAGTTCGCGCCGGACGACCAGCAGAGGGTAACAAAAATAGTGGGCTCGACGCC